TATTCTTTAACATCCTTAGTGAGGAGTGGCTTGGAGTGTGAACACTCAGTGAGTCCTCCTTGTTGTCACTGGAGGGATCTACCCGGCAGCACTCCAGCTGCTCTGCCCCTGGCTTCCCGGATTCAGCCGCTGGTCAGTTTTAGCAGCGGCTGAATCGGGGAAGCTGGGGGCAGAGCAGCTCCAATGGTCCAGCTGCCCGGAGAACTTCCAGGTTCCTGATGGTGCCGGACCATCAGGAGTGCCGGACCATCAGATGCCGGACCATCGGAGTTTTACTGTATCATGTTTTACAGGTTGTGAAGCCAAGACAACACAGGAAAACTATCTCTTGCCACCCTCTCCATTTACATAAGAGGGGAGATTTTGTTTTCCAAGTTGAAAATGTATCAGGTAAAATCATTGCCACATTGTAAAAATCCTTGGGAGTTTTGCTATTTACTTCACTGGGACTCAGATTTCCCCCACCATGTTCAATTTATTTTAAAGTGTATGCTGTAACAAGGGAAATCCAGGTGTCAGATCATAAATTATTTACATAATGGCATAGAAAGTACATTTATAAAATATATAGATGAAATCAAGATGGGAGAGATTGCAAGTACTTTGCAGGATAGGATTAAAATTCAAAATGAACGGGACAAAATGGAAAAATGATCTGAAGTAAATAGGATGAAATTAAATAAAGGCAAATGCAAAGTACTCCTAATAGGAAGGAACAATCAACTTCACAAATGCAAAATGGGAAATGACTGCCTTAGAAGGATCTGGGGGTTATAGTGAACCATAAACTAAATTAACACCATTGTGTTTAAAACAAAAAAAGCAAACCTTAATCTGGCATCTATTAGCAGGAATATTTTAAACAAGTAATGAGAAATAATTCTTCCAGTTTATTCTGTGCTGAGAAGGCCTCCGATGGAGTATTGTGTCCAGCAATGAGCATTTCAGCAAACATTGGATTAACTGGAAAAAGTTCAGTGGAGACCAACAGAAGTGATGAAAGGTTTAGAAAACATGACCTTGGGGGAAAGATTTGAAAACCTGATGTTTAGTCTGAAGAGAAAAGACTGGGGAAGGGAAATAACAGCTCAAGAACATAAAAGATTGTTACAAGGATGAGAGTGAAAAAATGTTCTTGCTCACCATTGAGACAAAAAGCAATAGTTTTAAATTGCAGCAAATGAGTTTTAGGTTGAGTATTAGGAAAATCTTCCGGTCAGATAGTTAAGCACTGGAACAAGTTGGCTAGGGCAGTTGTGTAATCTCCATCCGCAGAGATTTTTATGAGCCTCATAGACAAACATCTGTCAGGAATGGTCTACTTATGTAGTCCTGCCTTGAGTGCAGAGGACTGGACTAGATAACATATTGCAATCCCTTGCAGTCCTACATTTCTATGAATGTGACTCCTACAAGGATAGATTTTTTTTAAGAGGAACCAGTTTCCCTAAAGGCAGTATTCAGTTCTGTTAACTGTTTTATAATCCAAACTGGCACTGAGATCTTAAGGAGGTCCTATCTATTTCCACTAGAAAACCCATCTTGTCCTGGGACACTAAGGAATCACTCAAAGATGTACATCAACCTTGATCTCAAAAACAAACTGGAAAGTCAGTGCCTTTTTAAAATGTAAAATAATCCAAATGTCACATTCTTCTATGAAAAACAGGTAACCTTTTCAAAAGTACATTGGGAACTTCAACAGTGACAGACATTGAGTCTAATCACCTTTTATTCTGCTCCTGTTTCTCTCCTCTTCCCTTCTTTCTTTCTTTCTTTCTTTCTTTCTTTCTTTCTTTCTTTCTTTCTTTCTTTCTTTCTTTCTTTCTTTCTTTCTTTCTTTCTTTCTTTCCCAAAATAGCTATTCTGCATATTTTGAGCAAGCTTGTTATTTTGAAATATAATGGGCTCACTATTCTGACGCCCCTGTAAACCTTGTTCCAGAGGGAGTAAGGGGCGTTTCGGAGTAACACTCTATTTTGAAATTAACCTTGAAAAAAACTATGCAATTTGAGCTATGCAAATTGCGTAGCGTATTTCAAGCTACAGATGCAGTGAAGACACACCAATGATGTCTAGTACAACAGGATGAAGGAAAATAGCCACAGTAGTATAAACAGCTATCTTGCATGGACATGCCTGTTTTGTTTGCTTAGCAAGCACTTCATAACTATTTGGATACTGGAAATTATTGTCAATACCTCCAGGAGTTATAGAACTTAAAGGTGTGTGTGTGTATATAAATTACTGAAAAGAAATGGGATGTCGATTGACCAGGCAATGACACTGTCTGTTCCTTTTTCTTTAGCAAAAGCTATTTGAGTTCTGTGCTGAGAAACTGACACATTTGAATGACAAATATTCACTTGTATTCAACAGGAACCAAATCTGCCAAGGCAACAGCAAAACAGCTCGCACAGATCTCTTTTTAGCCCTTACAAACTATAGATGTGAGGTCAAAATAATAGTTTAAAAACACAGCTTGCTGAGATTTTGTGGGGATTGGTAGGTGGTAAGCATACTATGCTGTTAGTGACATAATTTCCTCCACCCCAAATGTTGGACAGGAGAGTTTCATGAAAAATTAATTTGGATCCTCTGAAGCCTGTACAAATTAACCAGATTATATCACTTATTTTGAAAATCCAGCTTCAGTTTCATCCACCATTCAAAGGAGTGAGCTTATTTCAAAGGTTGTTTGAAAAGAGAAAAGGGCTTATTTTCTCTTGATAGCTTTTTCTGGAATTCTAGTCACTGATTCAAATTCAATATGATAAATAATAGAACTCCTCTTTCCTTTCTTTTCCATCTTCCAGTGCCATAAAACCACTACCACACAATTTAAATTTGCCACTGTTCATCATTTAAAACTTAGGGCATGTTTACTCCTCTCTTTCTCCCCTGCCATAACAGTGATGGGTAACCTGTGGCTCACGGTCCACCTATGGCCTGTGCATTTCCTGATCACTTCCCCACATGCCTCTCGTACACTGGAGCCCCACACTTCCTATTCCTTCCCTTCCCTCCAAACACTTTCAGAGCACCATAAATTGCCTGACTCGCACACTGTTCCTGCTCCGCTCCTCCCCTCCATCCAAGAGATTGAACATCATGAATCAGTGGTATCCTGGTCTGCATCAATTTCCAACTCCCATTGGCCAGGAACAGCAATCTCTGGCCAACAGGAGCTGCAATCGCCCATACTTGTGGAGGTGCAGGTAAATATAGCAGTGATGGCCTGCCAGGGACTAACCCTGGCAAACTGTCTGTGTTTTATTGCCCACCCCTGCTCTGACCACAATGTGGTCTCCCTCTCCTCAGTCAAATCCCAAAGGCCTTTCCGTGGTAAACCAGCCAAATAATGAAGGGTATATTTAACATAAGCCAAAAGCAGAGACTGTTTGTTTGGCAAACATAGGTGGGTTTATTATGGAATGCTAGAGGAAGACAATGTGAGCTTTTGTTTCCTGAACAAAAAATGACAGGATAAAAAACAAAATAAAATAAACAAACCAAAAAACCTACTATCCCAACCTTGTAGTTAGACAGCTATTGCTGCTACCTTCTGCATTTAAAGTTTTATTCTGCAAATACTTTTACTACTAGTTTTAGTATTTATACTGTACATTCATAGAGAGTATTCAGACTTAGTATTATCAGGTTTGGACCCATGTCAAGAATGCAGGGAAGTGAGATGATTTACAAAACATGCAAATGACCATGGGAGGATTTTATCATGCTGTCGTGGGGTCGATAGGTCTGTCTCTAGGTGGGGGCTAGGTACTCCATGGCTCAGCACCATGCGACTCAGTAGTTTGGATCTTCCCTCACAGTCCTGGCTACTAGGACAACACGGCCAGGCAGCTGAAGTCCATGGTGAAGCCCCTCAGACTCAGGGCAATGTATCCTAATGGTCAGAGTCAATAGCAAAGCCCAGTTTTCAACAGGGCAGCACAGCTTAGCAACCAGGCTCAACAACAAAAGTCCTCTCTCACAGGGTGCAGCTTAGTGACCAGAGTCCGTAACAATGCTCTTCTCTCGCAGGGCAGTATGGCTTAGTGGCCAGAGTACATAACAATGCCCCTTTCTCACTAATGGCCAGAGTCAATGGCACAGAGTGCAGATTCACCACATAGGGTGGGGGGAATTAGGGTAGGGGTACCCAGCTCTGTCCTCTCCACTAAGTCCCAACCAGGGCCCTGTTGGAGGGGGTTTGCCTGCTTTTAGCTCAGCAAGGCCCCACTGAAACATGTCGAGCTGTTTTGGTAAGGCTACTGATTCCCACAAAACTCCTCTGAGTCACTTTCTACCCTACTCTTTGTCGCTCTAGCTCTGGTTTCTCTGTCTCTTCTCTCTCAGTGGAGTCGTAGGCTAGCGTGTCTGGTTCGACTCTGGCTGGCATCAGCGTCCTAGTGGGCATGCTTTTTCTCCTCAGGATGTAGTACAGCACTCTCTTCTCCTTTAGCAGACAGCCCCGATGGAGCTTCTCTTCAGGCCTTTATACTTGACCTTTTGCTAGAGCATGCCCAGAAGAGCTAAGGGCGCAAGGCCTCCTCAGCTAAGTAAGTAAAATTAACCTTTTCAGTACCAGTACAGGGTCAACATGCCCTATCACACATACATTCAGTTTTTAGCAGAGTTATCTTCCGCATTCTGACTTAATCTTTTATTTCCATTCACATTCTGTATGGAAACATTTCACTTAAATAGAATTTTTATGATCTAGGATTGCAGATAAAAGAGTTTAATAAAATATTCTTATAATTGATTTCATATTAAGGAGAAGAAAAAACAACCACCAGCTGAAGGAATATAACAAACAACATATTTTTTAGGAGTTTCAGCGGATAGCCAAGTAAGTCTGTTACAGAAAAAAACAACAAATGGTCTGGTAGCACTTTATAGACTAACAAAACATGTAGATTATACCATCTACATGTTTTGTTAGTCTATAAAGTGCTACCAGACCATTTGTTGTTTTTTAACATTTTTAGTCATACCTGCAATTATGCTTGATATGATCAAAGGCAGAATGATGAGTTTGAGCATTCTCATCAGAAGCTCTCCAGGAAATGCAAAGTAGAACTTGTCCAAGTTGGAGAGGTTGCCATATTCTCGTACTAGAACTCCTATCCCAATACCTAGAGGGAAGATTAAAAACATAATACATATTCAGGATTATACAATAGTTTGTTATAAATACCTAGAGGTGGAAAGAATGAAAACACAAGTATTAAAGAAAATGTGTAAAAACAAACCCAGCTACCAATATTTTAAATTTTCTGAAGTTGTGACTTTTAAAATGACTCCATGTCAGCCATGTACAGATATACATACACTTCAATATTTTCTCTTGGCATATTGTGGTCAAGTAACAAATTAATACAATAAATAATAAAATAAAATGTCTGAATTGAGAAGACTATTTATTCTTTTCCTTATTTAGGAAACCAAATAAGGACACGAGCCTAACTTTAAGCATCTCTTTTGAAAAAATTTAACTTAAATGTTCTATGGCTCAGCCCTGTTCCTTATCCGTAAAGCCTGCAGGACTTTGTACAGCTATTCTATTTAAGGCATAGGAAATAAGTGCCATAGGCTGGACCACTGCTTCCTGCAGTTCCCATTGGCCAGGAATGGCAAACCATGGCCAACAGGATCTGCAAGCAGCTATACATGAGAACCCACGGGTAAATAAAGCATCTGGCGACCCACCAGGGACTAACCCTAGCAAACCATGTCAGGCCCATGGGCCTCTTATTCCCCACTGTTGTTCTATTTATATCTACCAAGAGAGTTTACAAATAGATTTTTTGTAAAATGTAATATTCATCATAGACAAATGTTACTCTATATTAAAAAAATACATTAAGATAATATATGTAAGTAATCTTGTGATTTGGTTACTCCATATCAACAAAAACATGTGTAGTTAGCAGTATTTTTGGTTCATATACTCCCCATCTCATTAGAAAAAAATCATGTGAAAAATCAGTGTCAGTGTAGTCCCTACATTTACAGGCAGTCCCTGGGTTACGTACAAAATAGGGACTGTAGGTTTGTTCTTAAGTTGAATCTGTACGTAAGTCGGCACTGGCATCCAGATTCAGCCGCTGCTGAAACTGACCAGCGGCTGACTACAGGAAGCCTGAGGCAGAGTTGCTCTGCCCCGGGCTTCCTGGAATCAGCCGCTGATCAGTTTCAAGTCCCTACATTTACAGGCAGTCCCTGGGTTACGTACAAAATAGGGACTGTAGGTTTGTTCTTAAGTTGAATCTGTACGTAAGTCGGCACTGGCATCCAGATTCAGCCGCTGCTGAAACTGACCAGCGGCTGACTACAGGAAGCCTGAGGCAGAGTTGCTCTGCCCCGGGCTTCCTGGAATCAGCCGCTGATCAGTTTCAACAGGCTGAAT